TTCCCTTGTTCTGTTAGAAAGACTGCTTCCTGGTGTGTATAGAAGTTTCTCATGAACACAACTAGTTGTTCTGGACTCCTCACTCTTTATGATATTGTTAATAATTGTTGTAATTCACAGTCAAATGATTTATCATGGTCCTTAATACATGGATAAACATCGTTCTGGTGTTTAGAGCTTTCAGCAAAGACACATCTGAATTCCTCATTTCATGCTTGAATTCTTCATTCTTCATTCTCTTTGGAATCCAGCTTGAATTTTCTAGCATTTCCCCATAGATATAGTGCTGCATCCATTTTTAATTATCTTCAAAAAATTCACTTATTATTAACTTTATTTCTGATTCAAATAATTTCTGCATTCTGCTTGATCGCTCCCCTATTTAAAATGTTGTATGGGCACCACTATGGATCTTTCTCCAGTCAATTAACCAGCTAGCCACCCGTCTTCCAAATTAGTTGGTGGTGCTGATGACTGAGTGCTTTAGTCCTGCATCACCTGTTGCAATATTACAGCTGGCATTCTCTCAGTTACTGGAGCCTTGTTTTTCAGCAATGTCTTCAGTGACTTAGAGTACATCTTTCAGTACCATCAGTTCTTGATCATACACCACCTCCTGAAATGGTTGAGCGTTGACCAATTTTTTTTGATGTAACAAGTCATTGTGTTCTTTCCATCTTTGATGCTTTCTGCATCATCCAGTATTTTGTTCACAGAATCCTTCATTATGTGGTAGGTATACTTGACTTTCCCCCCCGCCCCACTTTATCCTCCCCTGGTTTTGGAATCCCATTCTTCACACCCATATCACCGAGGTTTCCTTCCTCTGCAATGCAGAAATCCCCAGAGCGCTCTTGTACCTCACTCCTTATCAACCTGCACTGTGCATTCATGCAGCTGCTTGCTGTTCCTCTGTGGCTTGTGGTTCTCATTTTATCTTCCGTTCAGTACATACAGCAACCAATTGAGAGCTAAAGTTATAAATGAGGCAATGTCCTTGTTTGAATGATTTAGCAGTTACCACTTGCGACCTCGGGAAATTCACTTCCTGACAGCCCCTGTGTTTCAGAGTAGACAGAGTTCACTGTGTTTCATAAGCAGAGTTGGGTCTTTCTTCCCGAGTGGATTCCTCTCCTTTAGCAAGCCGGTGCTTGCCTATTGGCACTATCTAGGATTCCTCGATATAGTCTCATTGCCATGAGTCATTAGTGACTCATACTTATCCTTCAAGGAATGGTCCCATAGAGTTTCCAAGGCCGTCAGCTTGTGGAAGCATACAGGTTTCTCCATGGTGAGCTGGGTGATTGGAATCACTGACTTGTTGTAAAGCAGCCATATTCTTAATTATGAGGTCACCAGTGTCATGATGAACCCCACTTACGACTTTCTTAAAAAATTACATCTTTGCAACAATGAATGCCTGGAAACCCTAAGTCTCTGTAAACTTTCATTAAAATTAATAAAAAAAATTACATCTTATCATTTCCAATACCACAGACAGTATTGTAGCATGTAATATGTTGCTTTCCCAGTATTCATTTTCATATATCCAATGTTATAAATACTATTCAAATACTAATATGTGTTCAAAGATCAAATCTTCCTGGATTTTTTAAGAGAAAAGAAATCCTGAAGTTGAAAGAAATAAGGAGGGAAGTAGTAAAAAATTTTACCATAAAAGTATTAGCTTAAGTTTCTCTAAATCAAGGGCATTAGTTGCTTGAAAACATGAGCCCAGATGTTGATTACTTTGCTAATGTTGACAGACATATTCATTAAGCTGTGAGATGTTATCATGAGCTACATGAAGGAAAAAAAAAGAAAAGGATTATATAGACAGCTATCCCTGTTTTTCTCACTAGAAACCAGGAAAACTAGACACTATCTTCATTACCCAGAATAACCCAGAAGATCCTTTGTTGTTGTTATGTCCTGTCAGTCACTTGTGACTCATAGCAACCCTATGTATAACAGCTCTGAACCCTGCTCTATCCTGAGCCAACCTTATTGTCTCTGACACACTTTACCCCATTACCCTAGTCACTGAGCCAATTCATCTCATTGGGTGTCTTCCTCTCTTGTGTTGTCCCTCCACCCTCTCAAGAATGATGTCCCTCTCCAAGGACTTGTCCTTCCTTGTAACATATCCAAAGTATATTAGACAGAGCTTCAGAATCTTTGCCTCCAGGGAGCAATCTGGTTTCACCCTCTCTAGGGTGAACCTGTTTGTTCTCATAGCAGTCCACAATATAATTGACAAAATACAATATTGTAAAACTTGCTGTTATTGTCAGAGTACATTTTAATGATTTGTAAATTGTTATCTATAAAATATATCTATATATTTATATGTAATGTCTCTAAATCCAAATATAGGTATTAGTTTTATAAAGATACTACTAATAAATGATAATAATAATAATGAAAACCAAAGAGAGAGAGAGTAATTGAGTTTCAATATATGTCATAACCAATTTATGATGGAGTGGTCAGAAGGGACTGCCATTATAAGTAAGGAATTACTCATGTACGATTTGCCTAATGGACTTTGGCAGGGGCGGGCAAATCAGAAATTGGTTATCTAAAATGGTATGGTGAGACATGAGGCAGGAAGTAGTTGGCATACACAAATGTAGTTATTAGTAAGATGATTTTAATGAGAAAGTGAAATCTTTAAATGTAAGTGTTAATGGCAAGAACATCCACAGGGTCATCTGTGGTGGTGTCAAGGGTTTGTTGTTCAGGATGGCTTTCCTCACCACTGAGTTTGAATTTACCACATGGGTGGGCAGGGACATGAAATAGGGTGTGTTGGTCTTGCCATTAAAGTTGGGTGGATTCAGCAGCAGAAATTAAGAATCTAACTACCAGCAAAGAAGTAGCAAGGAATTCAGAGTGTGAAACCTTTGAGGCCAAGCTTTTCTGTGCCGCTCAGTCCAAGGCCTACAGGAGCAGCAGCTGCCTCAGAGAACCAGAGACTTGGCACAAAGCAGAGCTGACCTTGCGGCTACTATCCTGTGGAATCAGAGCTCGAGTCTTCACCCAAGTTTGTCTAAGGATAAGGTGGAGGCAGGGAGAGATGCTCCAACTGGTAGGATTAAGAGCCTACCTAACTGAAGGCTGAAGGGTGAGGTGCCTTTGAGTACATTTTGGAAGCTGTTCTGATTAAGTTATTATACCCTGCTGCTATCTTGAGGGATAGCCTTTTGACTTTCTTAAATAAATACCATATTAATGAAAAGTTTTTAAAAAAGAAGTTGGAAGGAAAACACAGAGTCACTGTACCAAATAATTAGTCAACAGTGAACCATCATAGAAAGTAGCATATGATTGAGAATGAATAGTCCTAAATAAGGTCCAAGCAACACTGAAGGCAGAAAGAGAAATTAAAGTAAGACTCCAGGAACTGATGGAATATCAGTTGAAGTGTTTCAGCAAATAGATACAGACCTAGACATGCTCATTAATTTATACCAAGAAATGTGGAAGACAAATAGTTGGCCAACTCACTCAAAGAGATCCATATTTATGTCCAATGGAAATAAGAAAACAGTATCATCAATATCACATGCAAGTAAAATTTTATGGAGGATTACTGAAAAAATGATTGGAGCAATACATTGATAAGTAACTGCCAAAAAATTCAACCAATATTTAGAAGAGGCTATGAAATAAGGGACATCATTGCTGATATCTGATGTATCTTGGTTGAAAAGCAGAGAAAACCAGGAAAAAATGTTTACTTGGGTTTTATTGAATATGCAAAGACTTTTGCCTGCATGGATCATAGTAAATTATGGGTAACATTAAGAAAAGTAGAAGTTTCAGAACACTTAATTGTGCTTATTGAGAATCTCCACATAGACCAAGAAAAAATCATTCAAACACAACAATGAGATCCTACCTGATTTCAAATCAGGAAAAGTGTGTGTGAATGATGTATCCTTTCATCATACATATTACTTTTGTGCTGAGGAAATAAACTGAGAAACAAGACTATACGAATAATACTGTATCAGGACTGTAAAAATCCTCATCAACAACCTACATACAACATGCATATGGCACAATCTTGTTTGGTCAAAGTGAAGAGAACTTAAAGCATCCACTGGAGAAGATAGCTTACAGAATGGACTATACTTCAACATAAAGGAAAACAAAATAGTCTTCATAACTTGACCAACAAGCAACATGATTAATGGGGAGAAAATGAAGTCATCAAAGGGCTTCTTATAGATGTAAAGAAATTTGAGGACTAATGTGTTCCGGGACTAAGCCATGATATTTTAAATTGCCTCATATGCATGCAGAAACTGGGCAAGAAATAATGAAGATGGAAGTAGGACTGATGTCTATGAATTATGGCAAAGAGTCAGAATATGAACTGACAAAAGAACAAACAAACATATTTGCAAGAAGATCATCCGTAATTTTGCTTAGAATGAGGTAGACAAGATTGTCTTGTATATTTGTACATGTTTTCAGAGGAGCAGTCCCTGGAGAAGGATATCATGATTGTTAAAATAGCACATCAGCAAAAGAGACTCTAAAGGAGATGGACTAACACTGTGGCTACAGCGATGGACTCGAACACTGGAAGTTATGAGAATAGCACAATCAGATAGTGTTTTTCTCTGTCGTACATAGAGTTACTATGATTAGGAACCAGCTTGATGGTCCTTAACACCAACATATCCAATATGTACTGGTAATTAAAATTTCAGGTTGGGGGATGACTTAAGAAAAAAGGTCTAGGTAGGCTGCCGGGGGGTGGGATCTCCATAATAACCCCCCCAAAATGTTTTTATAAAATTGCACTAAGAACTCAAATAGAATTCATAAAGGAAAACAAAAACAGAAATAGAAATTTGGGGGCTGGTGCTCAACCAGAAAATAGAAAGTAGTGTGTTCACTATTTAAACCCATGTCTAGAGGAAGGTCTTCAGAGCTCACAGAGTCACCACCTCTCAATCAGGACAGCAGCATCTGTAAGATCACCCATGGCCCTCTTTTACCTTCTGCTGATGGTCCTGGTGGCGCTGAGCTGTAAATCCACCCGCTGTCTGGGCTGTGAGCTGCCTCAGAGCCAGAGTCTGGCTAATAGAACCTTAACAGTTCTTCAACTAATGAAGAGGATTGATCCTTCCTATTGCCTGAAGGACAGAAAAGATTTTGGATTTCCCCAGAAGGAGCTTGAAGGCCACAAGTTCCTGAAGGTTCAAGCCATCTCTGTGCACCATGACCTGATCCAGCAGATCTTCAACCTCTTCAGCAAACAAAGTGCATCTGCTGCTTGGAACAAGACCCACCTGGACGAACTGCGCACTGCACTTTATCAGCAGCTGAACAACTTGGAAGTCTGTTTGATGCAGGAGATGAAGGGGAGAGAAGAACCCCCCCTGATAAATGTGCACTCCAGACTGGCTGTGAGGAAATACTTCCGGGGGATCACTGTCTATCTGGCAGAGAAGAAATACAGCCCCTGTGCCTGGGAGATCGTCAGAGGCGAAATCATGAGATCCTTCTCGGCATTGACAAACTGGCAAGAGAGACTAAGACATGATGAAGGCAACTTGAACTGATGAAAGCAGATTTCTCATGAACTAATGTACTATGTCATACTTCCATATGTTCAAGCCACTGCAAAGATGCTCATTTTTGCTATGATCATCACAGGACTCCAACTTGCCAAACGCATTTCCAGGAGTATTAAGCCGTGCTGTGTTCAACCACCGGGGCACTAGTTCTTTAGAGAGGACTACTCTTCTGTACCCTTTTCTCTATTTAACTATTTATTTAAATTATTTTTTGTTAACATCCTACTATGTATGTCTTTTGGGCATAAAATTTTGTCCTCACTTATGTTTTATTAGTTTCTTATTTTGCTTTGGTAATTAAATTTTTATAATTGAAAAAATCTTACCTTTGTATATTTTTTTGAAAAAGAAACAAGTGTGGTTGGGTAATTTATTTAAAGAATAGATATTCTACTGCACTTAGTATTATATAAAAGGTATTCTTAATCTAGGTTAAAATTTAGTGATTAGGTATTTTTGTCATGATGGGAGTCCAGAGAGAAGGCTGCATAGTGGAGTGGACCTGGGGGGAGGGATTGTAAAACAATGAAAGGATTTTTATTTTACTTTTCCAACTGTACTGGGAGGGGGGTTCTGGGAGGGGAGAAAAGGGCAACAATGAATGAATGGAAATTCAAAGTCTCTGTAAATTTTCATTGAAATTAATAGTAAATTTTAAAAAAGATATATGATGTCTAGTAAAAAAACCTGGAAAATAAAATAAAACTTAGATTTTTTTTTCCCCCTCCAAATTTTCATTTGCCCTCAAGAGAATACAATAATCATAATTCCTTCTGTTTGGTGCCTTTATGTTTGTAAGACAATAAACTTAGAATCAATACTTATTAATATTTTAAAAACCCACCGAGAGTCCAGAATGAAAGCTGCATATAGTGGAGTGGACTGGGGGGAGGAGTGAGCAGGGAGGAAAATGTGCAACAAAGAATGAATGGGAATACAGTCTCTGTAAGCTTTCATTAAAATTAATTAAAAAAAAAGAAATAAAAACTCACCAACCTCAAACTCATTGCTGTTGAGTCAGAACTGACTCCTAGCTGACCCTCCAGTGGATTGTCCAACGCTGAGAACTGCATGGGAAGCGGTTGCTGGTCGTTCTCCTGCAGAGGTAACAGTGGAGCAAACTGCCCTTTAGTTGTGGTGTTGGAGAAGGGTCCTGAGTAGCCCATGGATTGCTGAAAGAAAGAAAAAAAGAAATCTGTCTTAGGGGAAGTGGAAGTAGGGTGTTCTTTAGAGTCAAAGCGGTGAAACAATCTCACACACTGTGGGCATATTCTCCAGAAGGATGATCACTGGAAAAAGACATCCTGTCGAGAAAGGCTAAGAGGCAGAGAAAAAGAAAAAGATCCTCAACAAAATGGTTTGAGCCAGTGACTAAGAATGTGCTCGAACATTTTGGAGATTGTGTTGATGGGGCAGGATGGGTCAAAGTTTGGATTTGTTGTTCATAGGGTCACTGTGAGTCAAAGTTGCCTTGATGACACCTAACAAAAACAGTAACAATAATAATGACATAGAGACAGTCTTTGGGATAATTGTGCAACTCACTATGCACAAGGCCATCAGGTTCCCTTAATTAATATCAGTGCAGTAATACTGTGAAGAGAAGAAGAAAAAGGCATTTTCTCAGCAGAAACGGGAGTGACATATACTAATAATTTTGATATTACAAGTAGTCTATATCCTCTACAAGTAGGGGAAGGGCCATCTAGTGCTTTGTCCTTTGCCAATTGACTATGAGTTTACAATTTACAAACAATGCCTTGCCCATGGGTTCATTATCTGGTTATAAAAAGGCAAAGAATGGAAGCGGTAATGTGGTAAAAGAGTCTAGAATAAGGGAAAGACTTTAATCTTGATACCAAGTACCTACAGCCTTTAAAGAGAAGAGTTACAGACCAAATAGAGGTAGAATAACCATATATTAGTAGGATAACAAGACAGAATGGTAAAGTAAGAGCGTATTTAAAGAAATGAAGCTGCTTCGAAGAAATTTCAAAGTGTTCATGGAAGATAGGGAAGGAAATGATCTACTCTATCTGGAATATACATGACATTGGTGATTTTAATGACACTTTGTTTGATAGATGTAGTAATAAGAAGCAATACAGTTTGTAGAAGGATGACTGAAATAAGTTAGTGACAGTAAAAGCTTTTAGAGGTTTGCCCACTTAAGTGGAAGAGAGAAATAGAGTGGAATATAGATAAGAATATAAATGATATTAAATAATTAAGAATATAAATTATAGCCATTTAATGATATTATAATAGTGAGTATATATTAAAATATCATTAATATTGAATTTATATTCTTATCTATATTCCAATATTATATATATACTATTAAGGGAACACTGATGGCCTATTCGTAACAAGCTGCGCTGCAATCTTGAAGGCACGCAGTTCAAATCTACTGACTGCTCTGTGGGAGAAGGATAGGCAGTATTCTCCCCTGAGAGCAACAGTCTTTGAAAATCCACCAAAGAGTCAGCTATGGGTTGGTTCTGACTTGACAGTATACAACAAACAATTCACTATTAATAAATAGTTTTCCCTTTTGAGACATAAAAGATCCTGAGGCCGTAGTTGTTTTGTTGTTAGGTGTCCCTGAGTCATCTATGACTCACAGCTATCCTAGGACAATGGATCTGAACCACACCCTGTCTTTTACCATCCTCAGCATCTCTGGTATGTGTAGGTCCATTGTTATGGTCACAATGTCCATCCATGTTGCTTTCTTACTCTAACTACCCACCTTTCCCAGTATGATGTATTTTCCCAAAGACTGGCCCCTCCCGACATGCCAAAAGTACGTAAGACAAAACTCGACCATCTTTTCCTCTAAGTAGTGCCCTGTTTGCATTTTCTCTAAGACAGACTTGTCGTCTGGAAGTTCATGGGATATTCAGTACTCCAACACCACAACTTAAAGATAGCAATTCTTCGTCACGTACTCATTTCAGATTCATAGGAAAGAACTGAAACTTTTGAAAGCATAGGTGGTTGTGGTTGCTGTTATGTGCTGTTGAATTGCTTGCAACTCATAGCGACCCTACATACAACAGCCCTAAACCCTGCTCTATCCCTTACCAATCTTATTGTCTCCAACATGCCTATCCCCATTACTCCAGTGCCAGAATCAGTCCATCTCATCGAGGGTCTTCCTCTCCTGCGCTGTTCCGCCACCCTCACAAGCATGATATCCCTCTCCAAGGACTGATCCGCCTTGCACATGTCCAAAGTATGTCAGATGGAGCTTCAGAAACCTTGCCTCCAAGGAACAGCCTGGCTTCACCCTCTCCAGGACGAATTTGTTTGTTCTCATAGCAGTCTATGGTATATTCAATAGTTAAAAAGACCCTGACTTGGATGAGGTACACTTTAATCTTTAGATGGATGTCCTTGCACTTTAGTGCTTTGGAGAGGTCCTTTCAGCAGATTTCCAAATACAACGTGTCTTGATTTCTTGACTATTGTTACCGTTGGTATTGACTGTGGATCCAAGTAATAGGAAATTGTTGAGAACTTCACTCTTTCCTACATCTATCACAATGTTGGTTATTGGTCCAGTGATGAGAATTTTTGTTTTCTTGATGTTGAGATGTAAACCATATTAATACTACCTTGAATATTTATAAGTTGCTAAGTGGATTGAAACTGTCCATTATGTGGGAAATTATGGCATTGGAGAACTTAGTTAGAGGGACTTAGAATAATTAATAAAAGGAAATCATATTGGAGTAGGAAGAAAAGTGATCTTATACTTTCCTTTCCAATCTTAATATTTTACTTTCAGTTCTTGATTTTACATTATAAATATGTCATTGTGATGCCACCACTTTGGAGTATTTAGTTTCACTTTGTAAAATTAGCTGTATCCCTGATTTGAACTCATCAAATCTTCAATAAGTCCTTTGTTTCAATTTTTGAAAAGCATGCGTTCTTACTGAATAAATGTTCAAAAATTAAACTTACTCCCCAAAGAAACATCAACCAAAATAAAAGTATTTATTTCAATGTTAAAATACAAACAGATAAAAACAAACAGTGGATGGATAGTCAGATCAGCAAGACAAACAGATAGGTGAAAAGGACAACATCAAGGACCATATAGAGTTTGTTGATTCTATTTCTACATTCATATTCGTAAATGACACAAATTCATACATGTTTAGAACAAAGAAAATAAGATGCAATGTTTTGTGCAATGTGTTATGTAAATCATAAACAAAGATTCTCAGGGAATGAGTCATTAGTTCTGGGGCCTTGGTCCCATCGTGTTGGAGCATATCAAGGTGCGTTGGTATAACATAGTCCCCAAAGACAATATTCTACATCTTACTTTGGTGAATCATAACTGGGACCTTAAAGGCTTGTAATAGCCACCTAAAAAGTACAACTATTGGTTTCTCCTGGTCTGAAACAAAAAAGAGGGACTAAAAGGAGCAAAGATGTGCTGAAACAATTAGTCCAAAGTGCAAATGGATCACTTAGATGAAAACTTCCACAACCCAAAGGTCAGACAGCCAGATGGTAGCCAGGCTATCACTGCTCATTGCTCTAAAAGGGATCACAGTAGACTAACTTGTAGTAAGTGGGGAAAACGTTAAGCAAAACTAAAAAATAGTAAAAAAGGGGGGGGGAACCCTCTAAAAAACCAGCCTTAATAGTCCAATAGAGACTGGTGGAACCCCTGAGACTATGGTCCTTAGAGACTCTTCCATTCTGGAACAAAACTCATCTCAGCAGCTTAACTTTCAGTCAAACAGTAGGCAGGCCTATTGGTGAACAATAACACCAACAAATCACTCACTTCTTGTGAATAACCAATCACATAAAATCAAAAGACCTTATATAACTCATGAAAATAAAAAATGATGGAATCATCAAAGAAAAATTTGGTAGTTCTTAAAAAAAGTTAAACATAGAATTTCCATATAGCTCAGGATTTTCACAGCTCAGTGTGCACCCTGAAAATGGAAAAAAAA